CTTGGTATTTCTGGATGTACTTGAGTACACGGATGTCACGAAGGCTAGCTCACCTCACACATGTGGCACCAGGTAATACAACTCAAGGCTATCTCCCCAGGGAGAGGAAAAAGCAGATTCATGAGGGATGGGGAGAAGAAGATACTTGGAGAGGTAGGACAGATATCCTGCAGCTGAACAAGGAGCACAGCTACAAACACTTACATACTCACGTACCTCAAGAAAAGACATCAAGTCCAGGAGATGGAAAGGTGAATACACACACACACACACACATGCACATGTACACACCTGCTCACTCCATGAATAAACCTGCATCACACACAGGCACGTACACAAGCACACAAGGGAACACACAGGTAATACAGATGAGGCAGGAATGACATACGTGTGCACACAGGCTTTGGGCAAGCACTCACGATCTGTGCATACAAAAGGATGGGACAGACCAAGTCTAGCACAAAATGGTGCTTTCCCTGTTCACAAACATACATGTTCTCATGCATAAACCAATGTTCCCAGAGGAAAGATAGCTCATGGAGTCTCATAATAACCTAAAAATACACGGGCATCTCTGACCCATCTGGTCTACAGATTGAGCCCATGAGCCATGGAAAGAATGAATACAAAAAACACCTTGCTTTAAGGCAACTGGCAGCACACACATCATACTGAGGCAGAGCCTGCATATCTACAGCACCGTCCATGGTGATCACCTTGTCACCAAAGCTATTCAGAAGTGAGGTGAGAGCTGAGGAGCATAGACGGGAAGAAAGGGACTCCCCACAGGGTAGCTGTGGCAGAGCTAGGGATCCCTCCTCCTGCTCTATGACCCCCTCCCTATGTCATGTCACTGATGATGCTTCCTCACAACTGTATTTGCTCCATCTCTCTGCTATCAGACTGACTGCTATAAGGCACCATGTAGCCACTGAGACTGCCCAAACCAGTGCTGCCCAGGAACCTTTAAAGACTCCCCTGCAAGAGGCAATATCCGGGCATGAAATCCATTGTCACTCATCTCAACCTGACTCCTGGTAGCTTGTTTCCCACCTCTTAAATGCTGTGGAAAGAGTGACAACTGCCCTTCCCTCCTTCTGTACCTCAGCTGGTCAGCTGGAACTGGGTTTCCTCTTGGCTTATGAGTGTTGAGAAAATGAGGTCATTTCTCCTCAGCGACAGAAAATTATTTGGTGAGGAAAACAGTTCATCTCAGGCAATGACTAGGTACCCCTGAGCTACCCACGGGACCTTAAAGAGGAGGTCAGGGAATGGCAAAGAAAGGCACCAGCTGGGGAGCACAGGAAAGCCAGGGCACAAATGCAGCTCCGCTAAAGTGAAGCTGTAGCTGCTGCCAGACCATCTCACTGCTGAAGCAAACACAACAGCAGTCCCACAGTCATTGTCACCTCCAAGGTGCCAAGTTTGACTCATTTGGGGCTTTAAATACAGCATTCATCTGGTTCACAGCTGTGAGAAACCCATCCTGACCCAGCACAGAGAAAGGCTGGAGGTGGGTCACAGCCCCTTGGTCTGCTCCCTGAGCTTTGCACCCTCCTCTTCTAGCCCATAAAAAGGATTTCAACCCCCTCTCCCTGGTGAGGGAGGTGGCTCCCATGTGTTCAGTAGCTCTCTCCATACTCTCCTTCATCCCTCTTCCCACATGAAAAGGCATTGGGGGACACTGAGCTCTCCCCCTTCAGAACTGCTCAAGCACCCACTGTAGCTCAGCATCGGGACCAACCTGGACAACATACACCAGCAGAACCTGCAGAGAGCTGCCGGCAGCCTGGGATCCATCACTGTTCAGGACAGCTCTGCTCTTCCATGGAGGAGAAAAGAAAAAGCTCCCCTGTTCCCAGAAAAGGGGGTGTTTTGCTGGAGCGCATTTGCTCTGCACCTAAGCTGTCCTGATCCTACTCTGGTGCCCAGGCATGGGCAAGGACTGCAAGTGTTTTTTGGGGTCATCACATCCCTTTACCAGAACAGGGCACCCCTCCTCAGTTCACAAGAGTGTGAGGACAGAGGTGTTCCCTGCTTGTCCTCTGCCCTACCTCACACTAATTAAAGAAACAACTTAGCCCAGTCCCATGCAGGGGATCAAGGGGAAAAAAACATTGTATTTGGGACTAGGGAGAGAGCAGCCAGATCTCTCTTCTGCAGCAAATGTGCTGATATTTTCTGAGACAGCTGATAGCAGCACTGGAAGGTTTCAACAGGCCCTGATGTGACACTAACTTTTTTCCCAGGTGGGCAGTGCTCTCCACCACTCTTCAACAGGGTTAGATGAGGCAGCTGCACTCTGCCTGGAGCTGCATCTGGCTTCTGACATGACCCAGGTAGGAACAAACATCACAGACATCATCACAGCAATGCTTCCCTCCCTTCTGCCTTCCCTGTGATTTTCACCTTTTCGATTTTAACCGCAAGCTGTCTCCCTGCAAAAACTACACCTCCCAATGCCCCCCTTTCCCAAACTACCCCTCTACCCTCCAAGTGGCTTCTGCTCCACAGCTTAGTTTTGCACCGATGCAGCAGATCAGACAGCATATTCCCAAATACCCGCTTTTCCTGGAGCTGGATGAAGAGATGGGAAGGCCACACATCCACAGTTCTTCCCTCGGGGTCATAATTTTTGATGGGGGGCGGGGGGGGGGGGAAGAGCAATTAAGGTAGCTTGCTTCATACCGACAAATCTGCATGCTTGTGGGTTGGGTGCCCTGAAACCCAACCACCCCCCAAAGGAAAATAACAGGGTGAAGAGGGTGGCAGGTAGGGAAGGGGTTGGGGTGGGAGTAGGTTTCTAGGTTGGGGAATTCAGTGGGATTAAAGTAGCTGCTTCTCACCCCTGGCACTGCATCGGCACCCCTCCACTCCCTGCAGCTTCCTCACTGCTGCTGGTACCGTCTGCACAGAGGGGGGAGGCGAGAGGGGGGCTGTATTTAAATATATTAATAATGCATGTTCCATGCAAATGAAGCTTCTTTTGAATATTACATTAGCGATGCTGTCAGGCTGCGCTTGTCGGGACCCGGGAGTGACGGGATGTGTGGGGACCCGGGAGGGCGGGTGTGGGGAGGTAGGGCTCACCAGAAATCCCCTCATACCTCAACACAGCCTCCTTTCTCCCCCTCCACCCCAGCTCCCCCACATTACACAAACTCCAGCTCCCTCCCAGCTCCCGGTGCATGACAAATTCCTTGGCTCACAGCATGCAATGCAGCCAGGTTTCCCAGTCCCCTAGGCCCCCTCCCGAGACATGGACCCCCGTCTTCTCCCCACTCCCTGCGTAATCTTTACCCCTCCCGCAATTCAGCAGTCCTTTCCCTGCTCCACACCTCGGTTTATAGCTCCCTACCTCCAGTGTGGAGGGAAGGGTCCTGCTCTCCAGCCTTTAGCGAAAAGAAAGGGGAGCAGCTCCTAAGTCTGGCCTGCACGTGTGCACCCCCTTTGTGTGCACCCACAGTGCTGGCATGAGCCCAGAGTGGGTGCCCCTGGACCGCGGGCTGTGCACGGCTGCAGGATGTACGCGCCCGCAGCGCACGAGCGATGCTCTCCTCCCCACCGACACCTCCTTCCCTGGGTGCTTGCGAGGATGTTTGCAAGCACATTGTTTATGCACAGCCACCCCCGCCCCCGTGCACACACACACACACACACGAATACACACGCGTGTGCTCGCAGTGCATGCGTGCAGAGGTGGGGGAGCACACCAGCACACACACACGAGAGGGCATTACGCACAGCAGCTCCCGAATATGCTGCCTGCTGCAGCATTAGCAGATTTATGCTGCCTTTCCCCAGCCAGATCCAAGCTCTGGAATGGGAACAGCAGCAGCTGTACACTCCTGCCTGTCCTGGGATGAGAATAGAATGCGTCTGTTCGTCTCTCTCCCCCCTCCCTTCCTCCTCCTTCCCCCTCCTCTTGCTCCCATTCATTCATTCAGCTTCTCCTCCCCCCATCCCATGCCCCAAAGCAGGAAGATCCTTATGCATAAAAATGTGGGCATGCTTTCTCTGGTGGAATAAACGGGCACACAGACACCCTGCAGGCAATACATATACACTCTCATATGCATTCGAGTAGCTGTCCTGGGCCCCTACGTAAACACCCAGCTCCCACCACCACCACAGACACATTCACACACCCGACAGACACCACGCAATGACTTTTCTGCAGCCAGTCAGCCTCCCAGCAGAGCAGTGTAAGAGCAGAGATTTACTCACTTCCCTGCATGCAAACCAGGCGAATATTCACACACCACACACGGACAGGCACAGAGACGCACACATCACTGTCCGCAAAGGCTCCCCAACAAAGTTTGCAAAGAGGCAGGGACCAGGGGGCTGTGGGATGAGGCTGTCTCCTTCTCCATCCCATAACTGCAGGCAGTATACATAGAGGTCTATCTGCACATGCATGTATGTGTGTGGATATAGACATTTACCTATAGCTATACCTATACATATTTATGTATACACACACAAAGACACACACACACACACACACACACATATATTTGCACATATACACAAGTCCTCTCCTCTTGCAAGGTCTGAATAGATGCAGATGGGTCAAACCCAGCTGTGTGCAGCAAGCCCTGAACCTATTCAGCATCCTGATCATAAGCAAGTGCACACACACTCACACCCACACACACTGAAAGGGAGACAAACCTGTCTCCAAGCCTCTCTCCCTCCCTCCCATCACCCCATGTAGGCATAATCTCCCCACACACACACCTCCCCGGGCCACTTCCCCATCTCCCTTGCAACTCACCCCTCGCCTTCATCCTCAGATCAGAGACATCCACCCCCCAGGGAGTGCGTGCACGAGCTGGAGGAAAAGGGCAATCCATGCATCCTGCCCCTCTCCCCGCTTTCCAATCTCAGCCGCTTCTCCGAGAGGCAAGACAGATGACAGCCAGGAGCCGAGGACACCCGAGGCAGCTGCACAAGGACTGCACACAAAAACGTGTCACACATACACATGCACGTACCTGCTTCTGGAGGGGCGATTGCTCCCTGATTTCATACGGGGCATGACAGAGATGAAGCGGAGGCACAAAAGACCCCTGTCTTCAAGCAACTTGCAGCCCTGCAGATGTTTGTGTAGAGGGGGGGTATCCCCCACTTGTGTCACCCCTTGGAGCTGTACTGTTCCGTGCCCCACAGCTGTCTCATTCCTGGCCGCACCTAGGCAGCACTCCCAGCCATGCACACGCGCGAGCACGACAGGCGGGGATGGAGCAGCAGTCCGGGGAGGGCACGCACAGCCGGAGGATTTGCTGCCTTCGCCGCATCCGCATCACTGGGGGAAGAAGGCAGAAAGGGCTGTATTGGCATTTAAAACGCAAGTGATTAATTCGCCACAGGCTCGGCTGATAGGGCTCTGGGACCACAGCCGGCGGCACCGCTTCTCCCAGCTGGGAAGGCTCTGACAGGCGAAGGACCCTCTCCCATGGAGCCAGTTCCGAGCCCTCCTCGCCTGCACAGCCACTGCTCCGGTGCAGGCGGAAAGGGGTGGGCCTCCACCGGAGACATGAGCACACGCATGCAACAGCTGCTGGGGAACTGCACACACAGACACAGACACACACACACAATTTCCCTACAACAGCTGCTTATGAGCTACACACGACATACAACAGCTTCCCAGGAAGCAACAGCTGTTGGGGAATCTCACACACACACACACACACACACACACACACACACACATGCACAGACTAGAGCTTCTTAGGATCAGGTCATCCACATGAAAATACAACAACTTCTAGGAACCACACAGTTGCAAGCAACAGCTCCTGGGGAGCTAAACACACACACACACATATGCATGTAACAGCCATACACCTACTGACACAGGTATGTGCAACAGCCATGGGAAACCACACCTTGATATATGGGGAGATTGCCTTTCATAGACCTTCTCAAATCACCACCACAGAAATGCAACAGCTCCTCAGAAACCACCCGAAGCCATATACCCTCATGTACGTGCAACAGCTTTACAGAAAGACCTTCCACCTCCCTCTCCCTAAACCCACACATGCCATCACCAATGGATGTCTTGCTCACAGTCAGAAACAAGCACCCATGTGCACCAGTGCTGCGGAATCAGCCACATCTTGGCCCCCAAATACTGCACACAGGCAAACCTGCTAGGAAATTACCTCAGCAAACACACAGTGACTCTTAAGAAATTACTCCCCAGTCCCTTCACAGAAAGCAGAAGCACACATGACAAACATAAATAATTCCTGCACAGACATGCAAGACCACAACTGGAAGGACATGATGCATCCCTCTCACTCACCACAGCAGTGGAGGGATTGCCTGTCTCAACTCAGACACATGTACCCATGCAACAGCTGAAAAAACTTGGGAACATGAGATGGGAGCTTGCTTCCTGGGATGTGCAATCCAGTCTTCTGCTATTCTGGGCAACCACATCATACAGTCTTGCTCACAAACGTCTCAAGGTCCATCTGAGTACTGCGAGACTATTTGCTCCCTGCTCAGAGGATGTTCTGGCCCCTGGCCACCTTCATGTTAAAAGCCTGGCCCAACATCTGCATTTATTAATGACCAATTCAAACCCACATGTTCCTGTGCCAGCTGACCACATTCTTCACACAGGCATGCATAGAGGTTGCTCTGAAACCTCCACTTCCACCTGAACAGACACCATCTGCACCCCTGCCTCACACAAACATACACACAAGCAAGAGCTGGATGAAGACATTCTCCTCAACATAAATATCAAACATGCTTGCAACAGCTTTTAAGTAAATAGACACCTAGCCCTACCATCCATAGCACTCATGTGCACACAGGTACAGATATATGAACACATAAAACCTCTAATGGTAAACTAATGAGTTTCTTCATGCAGTCTAAAAACTAAAGAGGGATTAGTTTGACACACACGCTTCACTGCAAGCAGCAGTGTTATTAAATATGTTATATTAATGGCATGTAGCTGCGTCAGGGGAGATTTAGGTTGGATATTAGGAAAAAGTTTTTCATCCATATGGTGGTCAGGCACTGGAACAGGCTCCCTAGGGAAGCGGTCATGGCACCAAGCCTCACAGAGTTCAAGAAGCATTTGGACAATACTCTCAGGTACATGGTGTGATTTTGGGGGTTGTTTTGTGCAGAGGCAGGAGCTGGACTCGATGTTTCTTGTGGATCCCTTCTAACTCAGGATATTCTATTCTATTCTATTCTATTCTATTCTATTCTATTCTATTCTATTCTATTCTATTCTATTCTATTCTAAATTGTGGTGCCAGTTGCATCTAAAGGAGCTCACCTGTGACTGACCTCTCCATCCTGCTACTTATTATTAAAGTACAGAACAATGTAATTGCCCATCTCCCTCACTCCTGCAGCTCTACAGAAGGAAGGTGAGTTCCTTTGACTGTCCTGTGCATTTTTTTCTGTTGGAAGAGAAATAATCTCATGTAAATCCCAGTAAGTAGAGGACTGCTCCTAGCCTCCTGACTTGCATACCACAGACTCATGAACAGGACACCAAACCCACAAACACTGTACATGGGGAGGGAAACAATAAATAGCCTTACGGGAATGAGTTGCCTCCCTCAAAATACAGGCAAGTGCAAGGGACCCATCTACAAGACTAACCCCAGGCGTCACACACACACACGCAAAGAAACAAGTTGGTCCACAAGGTACAAACACACAAGGTCATCAGCGCACTTTGAGACATAGGAAGCTTGTGCCCTCTTGTGCTCCAAATCTGCAACCCCAAGTGGGAAAACACACACATGCAGACACACACACACACACACACACACATACTCCTCAGAAAGACAGATGTGCAGGGCTGAGGACATGCCTGGATGTTCCCTGGACCATCTGTAGATGTCTGTTCCCAGGGGATTAAATGCCAGCACTAGTCACTCCTCCTGGAATCAGAGAAGGAAGCTTGTCTTGGAAACTACAGGCTCCAAATTCCTTACCTTTATCACTTTGGGGAGTTATGACTGTGGGTTTTTTCCTCCAAGCTCTTTTGAAGCTAAAAGCTAAAGGAACAGAGACTTGCTTCCATCTCCCTCTACTTCCTCCAAGGACAGACATTATCTAATTTTGGAGGGTGTTGGAAGGAGGAGAAAAGGTTTCCAACTCCAAATTAATGCAGGATTTGTTCCTGCTTGAGTTCCTCCAGGATCATCTTGCAGTCTGTTCGTGATGAGTCTCCCAGAGGTTCTCCTGCTGGCCCACATCCCTTTAGGACTCAGAAGTGTTGGCACAGGATCCTTGCACTACTAGAGCCTGTGGGGGTCAAATGGTACTTACTCATACTCCCACTGACCCAGAAACAACACTTAATTTCAGCAGAATGGAAGTGCCCCAAGAGACAAGCAGAAGCAAACACCACATTCCCAGTGATGTGGGACATTTGGGTCCTTGATCTGATTCAAAGCCAGTCCCCCCATGCTTATTTGTCCCATTGCAGATGATCTAAAGGGTACAGAAGCTCACCCCCATGTTTTTTTTGCAGAGGCTCTGTCCTTGCCAAAAGCCCTGGAAAGACTCTGTTGTTTTTCCCTTCACAAATAAAAAAAAAAAAAAAATCACTAAGAGAGAAAAAAAAAACCTCCTAAGGACGTCATAGATACTTTCAGTCAGCTGCAGAGGTGCCTCATTTGCTATGTCCAGCAGTACAGAAAAATAATCACCTTCCAATTCTTTCGTACTTATGTCTCTGAGACCACACCACCTTCCAGTTAGGCCTGACCACTCTGCCCCCTTAATGGGGAAGGAAATAGCCCCAAGACCCACTTCGGTTTACACCTTTCTGCTCAGCTGCTGCTCTGTTGGGCTGCTACATCCTCTAAGACTGGAGATGCTGTTAGGGGTGAACAAGGGAGCTGACCTTATTAGAGTAATTCTCTAGTGTTATTCCAACATATGCCAGGGAGCTGTTAAGTCCCAGAATAGCCCAGAATCTGGGAGACACAAAAGTGATGACAAAAGCAATTTTTTAACCCTCTGTGTCCAACCTGGGAAATAACAGAGGTAATGTTCGATGTGGATCTATGGTACCTGTAGGGAGCAGAGGCTGGGAGTTCAGACAGCCATTCACCCCCTCCCTCATCACCTGGCTCTTGTGCCATTTACCCACACGAGGAAGGAAGAGTCAGGCAGGGAAGGCAGCCACGCAGTCTGCCTGCACTGCCTTTATTGTGTGCTGCCAGGGAAGGGAGTCTCACTGGGAGCATTTCCAGCTCACGGAGCGGGCGAGTCAGCCCTTCTCCCTCTCTACCTCTTCCCCTGCCCATCTGCCCGTCTCCCACTAGGGTACAACTGGGTCCCACAGCTGGGGAAAACGGGCTGACAGAGAAGGCTGGGCTCTGCCCTCGTTGCAGTCAGAATCTCTCCACTGATCTATACTGCGGTGAGCAGTGACAGATTGATTTTACAGCTCTGCTTGGAGCCGGCCGCTGGCCCTGGGCTGTGGATGAATCAGCTTTCTCTGGTCCTTGGCTTTTATTTCATTATTTTACTGCAACCTCGCTCACAAGCAGCTAAAGAGGGAGCGACAGGGAGAAAGATGAAGTTGGCAGATTTCCTTCCCTGCTCGTGTGCTCCCAGCCTCCCAGCTTGGCTTTGGGACTTCAGGAGGAGGGAGGGAAGGGATTGTTTTCCAGGGTCTGACATTTGTCAGGAATAAAGACATGAGGCTTCTTCTACATGGATAAATGCATGTTGTAGTGGCTGTGAGAGACAGCAAGGACTGCGGAGGCACACATAGCATGAACAATTCCTGTACTGTTATGCCAATGCCTCAACCTTAGCCAAATGGAGGGCAACCCATTTTTCAATACAAGGGGCAGCACATTTGGAAATAACATGCCATGAGTGCATTGGACACAAAGCTGCTTACAGATTCCAGGGTGGAAGTGATTCCAGGTTCTCCTCTTATAGGTGTGGATGTAGAGCAGGGGGCAAGGGCGGTATGCTGCTGTCTCCATCAGGCTGAGAGGTGAGCATGCTACTGCCACAAGGTTCTCCTGGGATAAGGTGGCACCTCCTGGCCTGGAATTGACCTTCTTCCCTCTCCTGGATGTGGATATTGTAGACATTGCTCAGCAGGAACCAGGCTTGGTTCTAACTCTGTTGGTTCTTGGGCCATCAAGAAGAGCAACAGTGAACTCAAGCAAGGATGGAGCAACAAAATCAAAGGGCAGGAAGGTGCTGGATTTTTACAAGCCTGGTCTGGAACTACAGTGTGACAGTTCAAGCCCTCAAAGGCCCCATTAGCAGAATGAAGTCTGGAGGCAAAAGAGCAGAGAACAGAGGGACCAATTCAAAGTGCAAAAAGCATGTTGGTCTCTATATCCCCAACACCTTATGAGTAAACAGAACCAAATATCAGACTTGATGCTTAAAAAATCTCTTTGTCAGAGCTGAAGATCTCCTCAGGGGGTCCCTCACCTG